ACAATATATGGTAAAGAATAAATATAAATATGTTATAAGAAATATAAAGATTTTTTTATAAATATTATTGCAATATATATATTCTTGTGCATATCTGTATATGTACAAATGTGCTATATAACTTTATATATTTGTACAGAGATAAACGTAAGTATTATGATTATCGATAATTCAAAGATATTCAAAGATTATTATAATTTAAAGATTTTATTTTTATTTTTTACAGAACGATCTAGTAATTTAAATTTTGAGCAAAGCTGCTTGAATGATAGCATATTCTCCGGTTATCAGTTTATCTTTATGTTTTTCAAAGAATTCAGCCATATCATTTGGTAATCCAACACAAATATCGGATTTCATGGTGCGCAAACTCAAAATATTTGTAGGTTGAAAATTTCCCAATGCAGCTGCAAAGCTTATATTGTATTCAAAATTTACATCACCCAGAAGCTTTCTATAATTCAGATCACCCTTAAATATTACTAATTTAGCATCGGAAAATTGAGCATATATATTTTTCCCTCTTTCTTTCATTTGTGTAAAATCATACGGTCCTGTCCAATAAGGTTCTTCCTGTGTAATAAAAAGTTAAAATTATATTTAACATAATTTTACACGATAATCTAAACAGTTTCAGAGAATACAAATTAAATGTACCTTAAAAGACCAAATTTCCTGATCCATTAGATTTTTGAATGTTTTACCCAATAATTGTATATCTGGATGATCATTTAGTGTATTCATGTAATCTAACATCCAGAGAAAATCATTAATAGTTGTATCACTCACGTACCATGGATATAATTTTGCGTGAAATGTTATCTTAGTCGTAGGTACAATAGTAACCAAAAAAGCTGCTAAACATAGATCAGTGAACAGTTCATATCCTGCATTATCAAGTACTATATGAATATTATCGTTTTCTTTCATCTTTTTGTTCACAATATCCCATACAACCTCCCAATCATTTACTACTATATTTTGGTTTAAAGACTCCACTATCACAAGTGGATTACCAGTCTGAATAGAAGGGGCTCCTGCAGTTGCAGATAGATCATGTCTGTAAATATAGAAATCGTTGTTTATTGATAATGCATTATAAAAGAGCGTATTAGATAGGCGTATTAGATAAGCGTATTAGAATTAGATAAAAATAGTACAACCTGTTACCCCACAAGCTCAATTTCAAAAATTTCAGAAAATCATTCTTTGAGTTTTCCTTATTATATTCCTTATTACACAGTATGTCTTTTATGTACAAGATCATTAAGTCTACAGACTCAATAGAGTTAATAAAATCAGTTTGCTTTTGATACTTAAATGGATCGTAATTATACATCGTACTTCTAAAATTGCAAAACGACATTTTAGATTGTTCTATATGAATTTATGTTACATTTAGTGCATCAAAACTTACAATAAACTAATTTCTTGAGCTAATACACGATACATATAGCATTCGCAATATAACCACACTGTATTGAACCATGTGGGTACTCCATTTTCTACGCATGTTCTGTACTCTAGATATTTATTCCATTCCTCGGCATCATTAATTACTTTGGTATTTAAACGCAGTGGTTTCAAGGCTTTGTTAGTAACCATCTCAGTTTTCAGTTGACTTATGAATCCTATGATCTCTTTAATATCTTTTTCAGCATTCTGTAATTCAATAACATGTATTATGTCTCAAGGCATAATAGCATGGGAAACTGATTGTTATGTCTCACACACACACACACACACACACACACACACACACACACACACACACACACACACACACACACACACACACACATATTTGCTTCTATGAAGATTACCTCACTGTATGTATCTATAATTTTGCTTTTATTCTGGCAGAGTACATCAATAATTTTCGTTAATATCACCGGCAATCTGTCTTTGATTGTTACATAAGCATAACTTCTGTAACATAAATAAAAGATGTCGTTTTTATATCTTTGTATCAAAGGTCAGCGAATTGATAACAAGTTGACAAACAAAACAAAGTTAAGCAATTCAGAAATTACCGCTTATATACTCCAGATAATGGTAAACCGAAAGGAGTAAATGTGTCCTGCAAATCCGGGATTCTGGGATCATTTTGAGCCATCGTATATTCTGATACAACCTGAACAGACAACAAACCATGGAGATAAAATAAAGTAATAACAACATTAACAACACATAAAATCATGATAAGAATAGAGGAACAGAATCTCATGCGTCGCACATATATCGCGTTTATAAATACACGGCATGATTCGTTTCTTCTATGTTATGCTATTTTATTGTAGAATTAAAAAATAAAACAAATATATCTCAAGGAGAACAAGGTTACGCAAACACGAGTTTATAAAAACTAGAAATCGCCGCGGCAAAATTGAACTTTAAGCGGTCTTTCCTCAACTTATCATGGCAAAAAGTCACCGATTATCACCTTATCACGTTCTGTTCCCAACAAACGTTCTCGGAAGACTGCAGAGGATCACTCATGAACGTAAACACGATTACTACGCTCCACGTTACCACGCGGAGCAGCGCAGACTCGCGGAGTAAACGGTGTGTCAGGTCAGGCATATGTGTCGACGTTGACCGTCGCACGAAGTGATGCGCAGGCGCAATCGCGTGAGGAATCGATTCCTCGCACGAGGAATCGATCCTTTCCCTGAACGCGATCGAGTCGCGGAAAGCGCGTGAACGCGGGGACGGGAAAGATAATCGGCCGTTTGTTTTCCGCCCCCCTTTATTTCGTCTGCGGTTAACTGCGCGCGGTTTTGTGGCGGCTTCTTCGTCGTCGTCGCGCCGCCACCCCGCGGTGAAGTTTCCGCCCAAAGAAATTTCATCAACGCAGAAAGTTTCCGGCGCTCCGCGACCTCTTCTCCTTCGAATCGAGCGCGCACGTCTAACTCCCGTTGTCACACTTTTGTTCACCGACGCTCGGCGAGCTTGCGGATGCGGATGGATAACGAGATTCCGGTCTGCCGATATTGTGTGCTTCCGGCGTGGGGAAATCACCGCCCGGTGAGTTTAATTCTATAGATGTAATTATGGGAGCGTTTATCTTTTCTCTGTGTTCTTTCTATTCCTTAGGCCAACTGTTTTATTCCTTAGCCGGTTCCACTAATGTATAATGAGATTTACTTTAATTTCGATTTACTTATTGTTCATCTTTTTCTAATTTTCTTAGAATTCTGAGAATTAGAATTATTGTAAAATTAATTTCAATCTTGATTCAATTCAAACTCTTTATCTTTTTCTAAAATTCTTAGAATTCTTAGCGTTATAAAAAGATAAAGAGTAAATCGAACCGAGATTAAAATTAATTTTACATTGGTTAAAATTCTCTGAAGTTGACGATAGATCTTGAACGTACTCAATATTATAAACCCATATAGTATCAAAGCTTGCGATAACATTTCTGCAATGTTTGCTATGTTACTACAATATTAATGGAACGTTACAATGTTGCTGGAATAATCTGTACTGCATGAAAAATTTTTTTGTAAAAAATTTCAAACAATCAATTTGATTTTCTTCATGTTACATTTGCAAATTTTGGATATTCTTATTAAAATATACTTTATATTTATTCTTTTTTATAATGAGCCATATGTTATCGTTCTGTGAAATTAATTAATGCCTTTCAATTAACGTAAGTTAAATAGATCTTGTAGACACAGGGTCAGTAATTGTGTTACAGATTTTGAAGGTCAGTTTCGGAGGATTAACCCTTCGTTGACACACCTTTTTTGATCGCTTTTTGACACACTGGGTGATACTCACACCCAGAGTAATGTTTAAACAACTGACATTCTTATTTAAAAAATTCAATCAATATGAAAAAAATTATGGATCAATTTCAAGGTATATACAATAGAATACATTCAAATAGTTTTTGATTGAAATTTTATTACAGTTTTTCTGAAAAAAGTTCTTGAGTTCAATGAATAGAAAAAAAACGAGTAAAATCTTTGAAAAATTGTAACTTTTAAAAAATTTAATATTAAAAGTTACAGAATTGTTGTTTAGATATGATACTTTGGAAAAACAATTAGTTTGTGAGTTGGTTTTGGATAAAGGGTATTTATTTTACATATTGAATGTAGGCTATTTTGGGAATTGAAAAAAACAGATATTTTTTTTATAAACATTGTATTTTTGTCCTACAAAATAAAAAAAAATTGAACTTCAGAGAGTTAAAATAATTTTGTGGGTGGTTCACACCCAGTATGTTAACGAAAAGTTAAACGTTACTTTGAAAATGATAGCATTGCATTTTTATCGTCTGCGAAGATTTGTGGAAACATTGTAGGTAAACAATTTTCATCGGCACGTGACGCCACGTGACTCCTCGCGAATTCTTTTCCTGCGGGAATTTATTCTCTAAAGGACAATCTTAATATTTGTACCATCGTATCCCAACGAACAGCGGACATCGGGTACACGATAAATGAATTGATTAGCTTCCGTGAAAAAGTTTCGCTCGCGTTATAGCCCGGCGGGACGCTCTATCACACTTGAATTTACATAATGATCGTTGTGAGGGTACATTAGCTTCGGGGGTAATGGCGCGACTGCCTGCCCCCACTTGGCAAAAGTTACGACGCTGATACGGGCGCGCGGGATGTGCAGGAGAAAAGTAAATTCGAATAAGGCGGTCAAATTGTTTCGTTCCCGCTGCGCGACGCGCGCTTTTTGCCGCGGGAGAGCCAAAACAGGAAACTCGGGCGATAATTCAGCTACAGCTGCACGGCGTTTTAATAAACTCGACGGGAAAGACGTCTGCAGAAGCAAAACTCGGTGCGTCTTGTTTCGGATTATTTTCTCTCATGGAAATCACAGAGAAATCAGTTGAGTTTTCATATGGTTTTCATACAGCTATGCTTCGATTGCAAAGAACGTTTCGATATATATTCTTTCTTTGCATTGATTCTTATTAATCCTTAATTTATCCTTGTGCGTGTAGTGTCTAGTACACCCAATCTTTATAAATTTGCTAAAACGTATAAATGCTTTATAAAAAAACATACAATTTTGCTGAAGTACGTATTAAATATTTAGATACATACAGATCTGAAAATGATTTTGTTGGATCATTAAAATAACTATGTAGCATGAGCTGCAACAAATTTTTATATTCTAGTAACCAGCTTGAACGTCCTACGTAATTATTTTGATAGTCTATCGAAATTATTTTTAGATCTGTGTACCTAGTTAAATTTTTTAATACTTCAGCAAAATTGTTCTTTCGGTATACACATATTTATATTTAGCGCAAATTATTTCATAATTAATATTTTTTGTTTACTTTATTTAAAGGGTGTATAAAATGGCATTAATCTTTATTTAATTGTAAATCATAAAAGAGAATGAAAATTGAAATATAATGTTGGGATGTCAGAAACATCTCGTGCGAATAACGTTAAAAAAGAACACGAATAATATAGAGTTAATAATATTATTACCTCCATCAATAACGAAGCAAGCTGGTTAATCTTCTTGCCGCGATTAACAGCGGAATAAGAATATTTGATAAAATATTCTAGCGATGAACGACCGATTACATTTCTATGCCTCTCAAGAAGTTAATATTTCAATATGTATAAGTATTATATTAATACACTGATTCCCCCTTAAGAAAAAAAATTGATTAGTGTTCCAATAAATTGTTTAATTGTATATACATTAACTGATAATATTTCATCAATTACTGATGCAGTATCATCAGTTATTAATAAAGCCAATCTGCAGATTATTGGAACACTAATCAGTTCTTTTTTTTTAAGGGTTGTCATGTCGTTATACATAAATAATATCCAATTCACGAAAAATTTTTAAAAAGACAAATATAATTTACTTCACAAAAGTTATTATACTAGGGCTCTTAAAATTCATAATTTACTTCTTCTTTTGTGTGAGAGAAGATTATAAGAATAATAAAAATTTGATGTTATTTGGCTAATGAGGAGCTTCCAAAAATAAAAAAATTATGTCAATATAAATATGATATGTATAATTTCAAAATCAATATCTTAAAAATGGGAAAAATACTTTATTTTCGAGGATATTTATTTAAGCATCTTAAGCGATGTGTCAGAGAGAATTATGAGAGTAAAAAAATGAATCCTCTTTCGACCGTTCGATCCTATCTGATCCGAATAAATTTTTGTTTGTTTGCATTTTGTGTTATAATATTGAGTCAAAATAAAAATTTATAGCGCTACTTTATTCGTACCGAGTATATTTAAAAAATTTGGCAATTATACTATTTGATAGAGCAAAGTATCAGCTTTAATAATTTGTTCTTTGAATTATGATAATTTTTAATGGAATTGTAAACAAAGTAAAAATACTTCTTTTATTTAATCCGCGGTAACTGAGTAACAAATAATCTTAAGAACATTTTTGGAAAACGACTTTGTAGAAAGTTGAGAAAACTTTAAGTTTTTACGTTAGAAAGTCGAAAATTTTCCCATTTTGTCCAGCTCATAGTTTTTCATATGTAAAAATTACTAAACTCACAGAAACTCAAAAAATATAATAATCTTTCGAAAGTCGAGATTTTAAGCTTTAAAAATCTTGTTTTAAATTTAAATTTTATTTATTTTTAATAAAGTTACAGCTGTTTGAATTTTGAGGTTCGTAGCGCTACGAAATTTTTTGTTCCGATCCAGTGGAATTAGAAACTTTAATGGTGATAATAATTAAAGGCTCGTGTTACTTGCACTTTTGCACAATATCTTTGCTTTTTTTCACTTTTAATATCTAATTATAATACATATTTTTTTTTATCTTGTTTTAAGTACAAAAATTTTTTTAAATTTCAACCCAAACAAAATCTTATAATTAACTATTGTGCATTTTCTCGAATCTTAAGACTGCGACAATTTACACATGAGCTTTGTCAAAAATGTCTCGACTTTATACGCGAAAATGTCATTTATAGATTAAAAATGTGACAGCGTTATCTTTTTGTTTCGATTTCCGGCGGTGCTGTGAGAACCTCGGTATGACCGATCGTTAAATGTCACAGTCGCAACACAGAGGCAAGATAATATCGCCGCCGTTTGCGTTCTATTCCTTCGAAATGAAATCTGTGCCGGCGAATCCGTCGGCCCCCGCTCGTCCACCCTCTCGCTCGGCCCTCAGCTCGATCCTCCCATCCACGAGAGATCTGGGAGCAATGTTGCTAATTACTACATACCACCGAATGCGGCATAACCCGCGACCCATGAATTCCACCGCGCTGTAGCCGATGGTGTACAGTCGCAAGAGTCAGTTTTCATCCGTGTAATTTGTGGAAATTGCGGTTTCCTATGAGCGCGAGGCGAACTGATAATGCACTACCGAACGTCAGCTCGGTGCCACACTTACATTCTCTAATATAATGCGCGTGCACATATACATTTACACAAGCGAGATAATCGCTGGCTTTTTTCCTCCCCACAATTTAGTCGGCAAAATCCGAATTACGTCGCGGAAGCGAGAGAGATTTAGATATCCTCTCCTTCTTTTGATGTACTTTGAAACTTATACAGTAGTTTATAAATCATCAATTATTTCCAAACTAAGATGTTATCTAATTTAATTTAATTTAATGGTACTGTTCTATTTATACAGCACACTTTATCTTAGAGACGTCCTAGGAACATCCTTAGAATGTAGTGTCTAGAGACGTCTCTTCGAGGAATGCTGGGTTGTTATAGTTTTTTAATTGAAATCGATGTTTCAGTGAATAAAAAGAATCGTACTTTTCTGATATTCTTTACGTGAATATTCTTTATTTTTTATATTAGAATATAAAGTTTCTTGTTTTTTGTTCTTTTAATGACAACTAACACATCATCGTCTCAACAATCTTACAAGTCTCTGCACAAAATTGATTAAACGTGGTAAAGCAATACAGGAACGATTATTACACGTAGGATAAAGTCGTAAATATAAGGACCACATGGCCAGCGCTACTTCTTGAAATGAAGAAAACTTGCAACGAGAGAATGACGATACGCATGCGAGAATATCGTAAATGTAATTGTAAAAAATTTTGGTTACGTGTAACTTGATGTTAAAACATTTAAACAATATTAATTTAATACCATTAAATTTTTAAATAGTAATGTTATTAAGTTAATTATTTCTGAGCTATTCCGTAGCCGCCAGTAGCTGTTTATTGTTATTACACATAAATTGTGATATATAAATAATGTAGAAAACAACTGTTAGGTTTATAAAAAAATTTTTTATAATTATTTAAAAAATTCAAAAAATCAAAGGTTAATCTATTGATATAAAAATATTGTAAATTTATGGAATGTACATAAATTAATTGATATGACAAGAAATATAATAAATATACTATAATATAATTATAATAAACATAATTATAATAAATAATAATGTACACGATTAATTTTTATGTAATATGAATTATGTGAAAATCTTTCTAATTATGTTTTATGTAATTTTCCTTTGCCAAAAGCTAGGCTTTTCTTTCAAAATGTGTAATCTTTGCTGCTTGACGGTAAGAATCAGTAGTATGCATTTTTAGATGTTGCAACGATATTTCTTCTCCGTGCCGGTGGAAAGTTTTCAACGGACGTTATACTCTACGTCATGCCGCAGGTATATTCCAAAGGGCATAATTTAAAGAAGTTTCTCTTGGGGTTGTCGCGAACCAGCGCAGCAGCCAAACGAAAACCCAGTTTGAATGTAAGAGTATGTAAATGATAGGAGCTGCCAGGAGAGAGTTCATTATAACCGGCATGGTGCGACCACAAAATTGTTCGTGGAAACTTTTGTGAATGGCAGTTAATTATAATTAATTCCGTATTGTCTACTCGACAGCTCGTGCTAATTCCTTGCTGCCGACGAATCGCACGCGAACGCAAACCGCGGAGTTTCAGTTAGCACCCTCTCAGTGCAGACAAATTATTACGAATGTTCAATTAAATTGTGCGTTTTCAAACTAACTTCCGTACGGCAGTCTTTTCGGCAAATTTTGCATTTTCTCGGCCGTTGTGTGACGCATTCATCTAGGAACTTACGGTACGCTCTATTTAATACCTTTTCTTACATTTCTTGTATACAGGAAACGCAAACTCGAATAATGTCGTAATTAAGGAAGATTAATTTTTCATAAACTGGCTAATAATTTCATATTTGAACCAATTTGTAATTCAAGATTTAATATTATAAAGAAACTGGAAAATTAACTAGAATTCAACACACAATTAATTAGAGTTTATTGAGGAAGATTTGTATTTCTTCTGGTGCATTATGCAGGACGTATTCGATAAAGTAATATATTTTCCAGCAGTTGTAAATTAACGTTATAATAATCGATCTTTAGCAGAAAAATAATTTAACGATTGTATTGGGGAAATTGAACGGTGATTAATTCAATCGTAGTATTACATCGTTAAAAGTACAATGCAACTCGTTCGATGCAAGTGCCCCGATGCTCTGTATCCGCAATTAGAACGATTTCGCGAGTTTAATTCCGCAGAATTAGGAGTGCGGAACTGGTTCTTCTCATCCGGGCAACTCTCGGAAATTTCAAGAGTTTATCCCGACGGAGCGAGAGTGGGATTACAGAAGAAAAAGGGGTAACAGAAAAGGATGGCCCGACACGAAAGAAAAGGGAAAAAGAAAGATGAACTTTGTCTTTAGAATATAGCTGAAACCTCCTATTCTTTTCCGGCGACAAGTTTCGGCAATGATTTTCAAAATTGAAAGAACACCGCGACTAATTCAGTATACGATAAACTCTTGTTTGGCATCGTTTCTATATCTCTTATAAAAATTTTCTAAACTCTCGGTACGATTTTTCTTTGTAGAAGCAGTTTTCTTAACTTGTAAACATAAGAACAGATAGGTCAATGTGTTTTTATTCGTGAGATTTAGATTTACAATAATCATGTTGTATACAACAGGTAATATAATAAAACTGTGTTAATAAGTAACACATAAAAAATACATAAAGAATATTTTAAATTTCAGTTTACATTACATGATATATGTATATTATAATAATGTCATATTATATATAACAATGTTATATTGTAACTATAATACATAATACGTGTAAAAGTACTGTATGTACTTATAAAAAAGTGTATCAATAAAATATTATAAAAGTAATGAATCTAATCTAATCTAATAACAATCTATTCTAATAACAATTTTCTTCCTTTTTATAAAAGATCGTTGTCTCTTATAAAAATATCAAATCAAAATTCATCGCCTGATATAAACGGTAATAACGTAGAAGAGCAAATTAAACTTCAACATTGATATCTGCTTACGCGACGGCCAAAAAGATTTAGCCTTAATGGAAGTTGAGAGTATATCGTGGAACGGAAATGTGTGGTGTATAGGCCCAACGAATCGCCGCGGTGGTGTGTGCGAAATAATAGGGTAATTGTTATGCTACGGCACGGTAGGCGGAGGATCTGAGCTCCGTGTCTTCGATAAGACACGACTCTGAGCATACTTAACGAACTTAACTTTCCACGATCGTATGGGCATCTAGTTTTCGGCGGTACGATACTGGATATAATGAGGGAAATGTAATAAAACTAGCTAGCGCGCTGATTTTATTATATTACATGAGAGACGCTATTGTACCATAAATTTAAAGATATTGTAAAATGAGATTATAAAATTTCTTGCCTGATTAACTATTTCGTTATGTTCATTTAAATAATATTGGCAATGATGAGATTAGAAATTCTCATCTTTTATTCAATATAATACCTCGATTGATTTTAATTCTATTTTTGATAAGAGAATAATAAATATTTTGTAAAAAAAAAGAGATTACTGCGATTACTTAATTTTGTAAATTTTTATAAAAAAACTTTGAAGTTTCGAGGCATGTTCTATTAATTGTTTAAAGTTGAAGTTTCAAATGGTGTTAAAATTGCACGAGATTTGTTCATTTTCTGATTCTCTGGATAACATGATTTAAATATCCCAGTTGTATTCTTAGTTAGTTTGATAAATTTGTCATATGGACATAATACTTCACAGCCGGGAATGGTAACTTCTAATATTTTCGGTGGAATACCTAAATAATGTAATATCTGTAAGAAGTAAATTATCCATTGGTTATTAATTAGTCAAATGACAAATATTATTTGTTTGTCACTAAAAATATGGTATTTGTTACTACGATCTCTTACGAAAGAAAGATGATACTAACATTGTTCTGAGAAATATAACAAACGATAAAGTGATGCAAATAAATATTAGTTATCAAATTGCCATGGCGGTCACGTCCGATGTGAAAGAGACCCGATTGAAACATTTAACTACGGCATTAGGTAACGTGTTCGAATTCGAAAATAGAGTATCGAAATACGGAACAACGATAAAAGAAGGATTTCTTCACGCATGTTCTCACGAAACTGGATACTAAAAAACGAACAGACGAGGATAGCTGATTTAGTGACTAGCTTTTAACGAATAATAACCGTCACAAGTACACGTCGGGATCCTTGTTTGGTGTTCGCATTCTCGCGTGACGGTCAATAAAGAATACTTAGATAGTGCAGTTGAGTTACCGTCTAACGACTTTAAATACGAGAAAGAGAATACGTCAAGATGAACGAAGCTACGTTGCCTCCGCCAAATTGCTATTTGAGCAATATCCTTGCGTGCTAGACGTGGAACTGTGGCATGGGGCGCGAGGAACTTTTTGTCGTCATTGCCAGGCAGAAAGAAGACAATGTTATGCAGTATTCTGTAATCAAGGATTATTTTAAAGACAAAGTAACTGCGTTAGCATTTTGTCCTAAGCTTGATGATTCAGACAGTCCAGAGCTGTTAATCTGTGGCGGTGATGATACCAAAGCTAGGGTTTGGAATGTAGATAGGTTGGAGTTGGTAGCGGAATTTGCTTTTGTCGATGGAAGCAAATTGATTGGGAGTTGACTGGTCAGCCAAAGATGGCAATCTTGCGTGTGCAGTGAATTTGAGGGGTTGTTTAATGTACTGTAATATACAGTATAAGACTTCGAAAATAATATCTCTAGGCAAGCTAACTGCTACATGTGTAGCTTGCTATTCTCATGACTCTAGTCTTGTAGCAATAGGTACTAAAAGTGGACTAGTTTATATTGTTCAAAAAGATACAATATTGTACAGAATGAGAGGACACAATGAGGACATAATTAGTTTATCTTGGTGTCCTTCAGACATAAATGTTTTAAATGGAGGAAATAGAAGAGATTTACTTTTAGCTTCTGGTGCAAAAGATAGATCTGTATTCATTTGGAGAGCCGGTAGAGATGGTCGATATGAGACTGTACTAAATATACCAAATACGCCTATCATGGGCTCATATAAAAGCAAGCTCAGCACTACAAGTGGAACCTGGATTGCAGTATGTTGGGCAGAGCCCAATTTGTTTTTGACTAGTTCCCTTTGAGGCGAACTTCTTTCTTGGGAACTTTCAACGGGCAGAGAAAAGCCTAAGTATAAATTGTTCCATACATTCCATAATAGAGGATTATTTTCAATAGCTGCTGCACCCAATTACGATGGAATATCTGATGACTTGAAAACAAATTCCGAGCTCAGAGTCTGGTCTTTAGCATAAGATCGCTGGGTTATATGTTGCAAATATAACAGCGATCCTATCAAATCGGCGATCCTGGAGTATAAGATTCCTACACAAGGAGGATTCGTCTACTGTATGAACGCTTGTTCTATTGATACCTCACGCATTGCATTTGGCGTAGGAGACGCGATGCTGCGTCTATGGAACTTATCTGAACCACACACAATGACTTTCGACGTTGTTATACACTGGCAGAAGATAAAGGGAAAAATAAGAGTGGTATCGTGGTTTCCGGAAGATGAATCTACCGTTGCTTTTGATACTGGAGAGGGTCCGTTGGTGTGTTTGATGCAATTGGAATTAACAAACAACCTATATTATACCGGCAGTATCATCGAAATACCATTTACAAACTCGAATGGGCTCAACTTAAATCAGAATATTTTTTGTTCTCTTGTGCAGAAGGAGAATTAGTAGCTTACAAAAAATCCACACCGAACGATGAACCTATGTCTATAATAAAGGAAGGATGTTTGGAATTTTCATGGAAATCCAATATATGCTTAGCAGTTGCGTTAGAAAATGGGTATTTACAATTATGTTCTACGATCAGAAGCTGAGAAAACGCGGTAATTCGATAATTTTAAGAAATTTTAAGAAATGTGGTGAATTGTTTGGCATGGCATCCCGAAAGTACAATGGCAAGCAGAGATCATAGATCAGCTAGTTGTCATTAGCAGATGACACACTTACTTTGACAAAATACTTCTCATTTTTTTCGTGTAATTCTATAATAACGCTGCTCGTAAACTCTGGTAAATGAGGTTCGGAAATATTTAGAGCAAGTAGCAATCCAAACACATTCATGTCATGTGCGGAGAAGAGATTAATTTTGCGATGTAGAGTTCCGTTGATCGCTTTATTCATGTCGTTAATTAATCTATTTAATAACACACCTGCAAAAGATTGAATATTATATGAATATTTTATGGGGATATATAAAAAGGTTAATTGATAATGCTACAATTAGTTGAAGTCTTTGCTTTCTAATAATTAAACTCCTTCTTTAGACTTCTCAATAATTGAGGATTATAATAATTTAATATTTAGATAACTTATAAACAATTATATATATGATTTTTATTTAAACATGCCTCCGTTAAGATTATTTAGTTGATCGTAACTAAGTAGATTGAAGAATAAGAGAGTCGCATTCAAAAGTTTGCCATTCGGAAATATGTCTTGCGTCCATTCAGGTAAAGTTAATCCCATAGATGATTCTACACGTAAAACACTATACAAATGAACAAGGTCCAAAAGATTTGTAACGTTAGTTCCTGTATACTTTGACGTTATCTTCATCAAATTGTCAAACTGTTCTATTTTCTCTTTCACTTCTGCATTTTGTATCACTTTTTTGTAAATATCGTTGTATCTATTGAAGACACATAAAAATAAAATTTTAGTATTATTGTTGAGTAATAATTTAAACAAGAAATATATAATTTATCCAAGCAGAACAAAAAGTCATCAAAATTATGTAAAAATGGCTTTAAAATAATCATTAAAAGTTACTTTTTGATCAGATTCACGATTCTATTCATGATTTAATGTCATTTTGACATTATTGTAATCTGTTTGGTTATGTAATAATTGTGATAATTTCTGATATATTTATAGATTATATTATTTACATATATTCTTCAAAATATAATGTATTTTTTATCAAATCTTAAGAATCGTTAAGACATCTATAAAATATCTATAGAAAGATATTTTTGTACAATATATTAATTGCATTAATTATTTAATTACTTCATGTTTGCAAAGAATACAAATAATCGTCCATATGAAATATTCTTGTGAATGCAGACATAATCGAAACATTATTGCTGATCATACGATGTATAACTATTCATATTAATATTGATCGAAGAAAAGAGATTTGCTTACATAGAACACTTAATTGGAAATAGCAGATCATCTTCTTCTATTGGAAAATATATCATATCTACTGGTTGCCAAGAAAGCTCCGAGTTCCACTTTTGAATTTCGACAGGCGGATAAAGCCCCGCAAGGACTAATTGTAGAGTCATCTTGGTTCGAGTTACCCACGTGCTACGTGCATAGACGTTCGGTGGGTAATACAAATCTCCGAGAAACTTGTTGTATTTGTCTCTTAACAGCAGCCCTAATTCGTACGCTCTTTTCTTGCCGGCCTTAAATGTTATTAATAAAGATAAAGAAGAAAAAGAAGAAGAAACTACATGCTATTAATATTTCTTACAAACTTAAAAATAAAGGAGCAATATATTCCACGCAAAAACGAAGAAATGACAAAAATGTTGATCTTTCCACTATGTCGCAGACGCATTTACTTGTGTGGCAGTATATTCGCTATGATACACTACGAAAAGCTTTACGAAGAGCAGAAGATGTAATGCATGCATTAATACTAATTTATGTATACAGAACGTCTCACTTTTCGCGCATCATATTTCGGACAAGAGATTTTTTTAAGTAATTTTTTTTAGCGATGCTATCAAGACATTTATAATTTTCGAATTAAGTATAATTAAAAAAGAATGAATTTTTGCAAAATTGAACTCAAATAAATAATAAAATTATGTTTCTAAAATAGTTTCAAATGGAGTCCAAATAAAATTTTAATTTGAGACGCAATTAAAAAGCATAAGATGTTAAAAATTGTAAAGTTATATAAAATTATAATTTTTCTTGATACCTTCGTTGAAAAAATTAACTATAAATTAGTAAAAAATCTGCCGTAATTAAAAAAATGTACAATAAGTATAAGATGATCTGAATATAATTTTTGAAGATTACTTTATCAAATATTCCAATAAATATCAACTAACAATAATATAACGTTAATATTCTAATTTTCTATTCAATAATATAACTATTATATACACGTATATTATGTTACATTTGTTGAGTAGGAAATTATAGGTAATATTGATGTAATTGTTACGATATTATTTATCGGATACATGATGCGTCACGTTATAAAATTACTTTAATGATAAAAAAAAAATAGAATAGTATAATATATCTATACTGAAAATGTAAAACAGATCTTACATTAGTTAAGTCTCCGTCGCCAACTGGGTAGAAATTACGACCATTATATGGATCGTTTGGATAAGATTCGTGACTCGACTTGTCAACTGTACGATCACCGTGTCTAAACACCTGAAAATTTTACATTTTAATTGTATTAATTTTGAATATATTTGAAAAAATATATATATTATAATATAAATATATATATTTCTTGTGAAGTAATTTTTTTATATCACTACCGTGCTGACTAATCGTAACGTCAAATAATAATCATCTTGCTGGACTTTAGTATTAGACACTATTGTCTTTGATGTTGTTAATAAGCAGGAATAAAATATTAATGCGATGCTTAGGAGTCGACGAAATTTTTCCATCTTCTAAACTGAACGGCGTAAGATAATCTCAGATATTTGTGATAGATATTAATATCTATATCTGTAACGATTAGGAGATAAACCATGTATTCAAAACAAATACAGACATACTTGACACAGTTAGATAAAATGTATATATTTCATTTTTTACAGAGAAAATAATAAGGGAGCAGAAGAATGATATTTTTACATTTGTATAAATATTTTTTTAAAACCCTATATAATGCTGCTAATTAATTAAAGTTTCTCTCTTTCTTTTACCTACACACACAATACCTACAATAACATCAGAAATTTATTCTCTACTCTGTAATTACAAAATTTTTAATTAAAATTATAATGTAATTTATATAATTTTTATAAGAAGTGCACGCATGCGTTTTTAACATGACATATTTAATGGTGTATTTTTTATGTAGAATTATTATTTTATCTTATACAATCCGTTTATTAATGCATAATATGTATAATAATTTTCACTTGAACTTACAAGGACATAGTCTTTGCTACATGACACCTATAAATATAGAGAGTATCTCTAGATAAATACCATTTGGAATAACTATTAAAATAATTGTAGATTGGAAAAAGCGTAAATGTAAATTTTCTTTATTATTTTTTATAAAGTCATTTCGACAAAATTGTTATTCGTTTTTTTGTGCTTTTATGACACTGAAATGTATTTTAAAAAAAAACACAAGATAATTTTAATACAACATTTAAAAATTCAGAAAATAACATTTTCTTTGTTAAAATTACCAGGCTTTATATAAAAAATAATAAAAAAAAAATGTATTTACTTTTTTTTTGTATGTCCTATTGTTTAATTAACAGTTATTTCAAATAGCACTGTTTAGAGACATTCTTTGTACAGAGTGATTTATAAATGCATGTTAATATCTCAAGAGGTAAATCTACATACTAGAATAAGTGAAAAGCCTCATATATATACATGTCCTACATATATACTTTAATTTTCGAGTTATTGATGATCAGAAAGGAAATGTTTGAAATACCCTCTAATATGTAGATCGATTTACCATTCAAAATATTGATATACATTTATAAATTATCTTGTATGTCTATTCACCATTATAAAATATATAGTGTTATTGTATGAGATAACAGGTTCTAATTGTTGCGGTTGTGAGAGATTAAGTATATTCAATATCAAGAACATGCTCCATTTATTGGATTAGTTTATTATTTAGCTTTGTGTACATATTAATTAAAAAGATAATATTATATATACACAGGTTCGTTTATAATAATAAACTAATTTAACTACACAATTATGATGCTTAAATTTGTCGAAACATTTATAGTATCCCAGAATAGTGTCATCTATGATAAAATTGTTATTGTCGCGAGACCGAATTATGATTCGACGAAAGAGATTTTTTTGGTTTTGAAATTAAGAACTCGAGCAATTCATTCTAAGAAAAGAATTATTCGCGGATTAAATTTATTCAGTGAAAACAGAACGAATAATTATTTGCAAACCTTAATGGTTTCTCTATGTTAAATAACGTACGACTTTTATTTATTACTTGCGTCTTGGCTAATCCTCCCAAATCTTTCGATAGTCGAAGAGAAAGAAAAGAATGTTTAAGTTGTAATTTCGTAAAGATTCTTTGTAGAAATATTTGGATCTTGTATAAATATGAATTGTTACAAGAAAATGAGATCCACGTTATTAATAGTGATTACTAGCGAATCTTAATTTATAATTGAGGTCACACTACTGGCAGCGACAACGTAATAGTCCTTTGGACAACTTTTTAAGCATATAATGTTCGAAAGAGTAAAAAGAATTGAACTTAAATTCAATGAATTTAAAATATATCACCTCTCATTAGAAGAACTTACCGTGCAAGGAGTTTAAAAGCGAATGAGGAAAAGTATATGTTAAAGTAGTTTCGGACCGAACCGTGGCTAACTTTCTTTCTAAGTTTAATACTGATGAACTATGCGAATGTCCGAATAAGGATATGAATACCGAATAAATGGACGAACACGTGCCTACAATGGGACTTTCTTAAATGTAAAGAGTAATAATAATTGTAGCGATCAAAACTATAAAACAATAATGTTATCTCTTTTATATACATTTAAGATAATAAAGTTAACAATTTTTAATTAATGCTTTCTAGTTAGTATAATAACGTGAGCTACTCTAATTTTTAAAAAGACTATTTTAGAATTTTAAATTTATACATGTCTCTTATCCAATTCTGCTTTATCATCGAAAATTAATATGCAATTATCCAACACTTTAGAGTTCAAAAATCTTAATCTCTTATATTTATTCCATTTGATGTTTAATTATTAAAGTGATCTTATTTTTACTAAAAATAAAAATTGGAGCATTATATAGATGGAATACTGACGTTAGCTAATCATTTTTGTTATTTCTTTAATTTTACTAATTATTATTATGTTTTGATATAAAATAATCTTATTTATTTCCGTTATGTTTTAATAACACACAGATATTCTTAAATTAATTTGAAATCTTTAAAAAGTAATATGGTAAGAATAAAATATGTATTGTGTGTATTGTGTGTGTAATGTGTGTATATATGCGTATTATAAGATATGCATAAAACATTCGCTTTATTTAGGATAATATTTGATTTATATTTTGCATACTTACGTGTAATAAAATTTTTACTTTCGTAATATTCAGAACTTTACATAATGTCTATAACAATTTATTCTTCGTAAAAATCCGTTGTTAGTAGTTATCGTTTTAGCATTAACGGCAAAGATTTAAAAGAATTTGAACTTTTTCCAGTGTGATATGATTACTCGGTTGCAACAAATTGACTGTTGCGCTTCTACAATACGAGTTTCTTAAGACTCTGTAGACGTACGACTGATTCGAGCGACTAAAAAGCTGAAAGATAAAAACGAGAAAAAAATAGTAAGCTGCACTCACACATAAATGGTTTGAAAGTGTTCCTCTCTTTGGAACGAAACATACTCAGAAAGAAAAGATCTCACTGATTGCAAAACCATTTTAATGTTCCATTGAATCAACGTAAAGTAATCGATCTTCATTATTATAATCAATTTTTATTAAGAAATTTCGTTGAATAAATCTATAGAAATAAAAATTCGAATTTGCTACTAAAACAAATTTGCCGCTAAAATAAAATACAATTTTCCATAATAATGATAGAAACTTCCGAAATTATTTTTACCAAATAAAATTAATATTCTTAATAAATATTTTTAACATATCTGTTTGTGTAATAATTAGCGATAGTTGTTATGACAATATAAAGTATACGCATCAGTAAATTTCGTTTATATTAATATTAAACATTTAACAAGACAATTAAATCATTAAAGCGTCTTTTTTAAATCTTTACCTCAAAATTTTGAAGAGAATTGAAGAATTTAAGACTAATTAAATCCAGAATTACGATTGTGAGTTTCCACACTTTACAAAACAGATAAATTTTATATGATTACCTTATATATCGTAGCTTTATTAATGTACATCACAGAGAACTAACTTTTCTAGCTTCCACGCGCTTCTCATCGCCTTCTACACGCGTATAATCTTCCGTCTCAATACTTCAAATTCAAATAGACGTTTAACTAATAAATAAACAATATTTGACCTGAGCTAAGTATCCTACTGATGTATATATCAGTGTATTAAATCAAAGACAAGAATAGATGTTTTGATCTTTAATATGATTATACTCAGTGTCAAAAAAGTAGATTACAAAATAATAATGAAATTTTACAAAAGTTCTTATGACTATGAATAGTGTTTGGTATAAATGTTGAGTACATGATGTTCATCTCATATTACATATTTGATTATCTTATTATCGGATGATTAATGCTGATATTATTCATTTGCAAAAATACTCACTTTGACTAGAATAGCTCTTATCTATTGTAATATTATCTAATCTTATCTAAATTATATTCATTAGAGCCTTAAAGTAATTTTTAACTCGTTTGTTAGACATTTATCTCTGATAAATTCTATCTCAATCCCGTGTACCCGAGAAAATGTATATTATTTTTTAATTACACAAGAACTTTCAAGAATTTCTAAGTACATCATACTAGTTATTTATTTTATTACTCACAGATATTACTCAATTATTTCTTATAATCTTAATTTTTTTATTTAAAAAAATTGACAAGTGAAATTTAGCATAAAATCTTTACGATCTATTTAAATTCGATCTAAAGATATATGTACTGTCTGTATATACACATGTTTTATACCACAAAAGAATTAGATTTGTACGAATCGTTCGATTATTACTAGCTATTATTACTCGATTGAGAGATTTTTCGCTTCATGATATAATCAATATACGTTATGTTTTGATAATATATAAATTATATTTTACTAATTTAACAAACATTCCTTCACGATTATGTGCTTTATTCTCGAGATACATTCACTGTATCTCACTCTCTTCATTATATGTCGCTCAAACTTTTACATAATAATGCCCAGCATTATGTTAGATTGTAATCGCAATATGTTTTCATATTTCAGGAAAGATAAAGAACAATACAGTTGCAGATAACCTTTACATCATTATAAATCTTATTGTCGTGATTACTTGTACGATCATAAATCGCGCATGATATATATGTATATCATTACTTGATATCAAGAATATGCGAAGTTACATTTTTAAAATTTTCGAGGTGCATTATTACTCACGTGGCTCCTTCAATCAACTCGAATTTTTATGTGCTCTAAATTAGCACATGTATGTACATAGTACATACATTTCGACCTACCTCTCTTCGAGATATCCGAGTGGAATAATGGAGCAAGTAGAACAGCAGCTTCAAAAATTCACCGAGTTTGATTACAGTATCGTCTCTCTTTGCCGGCGTATATGGACACAATTTTATGCGGGCGTGGGTATCTTCCCAAGTATTTTCTCATTTTCTCACTTCGTGGACGGAATCTACGTCACGTATACAAATAGTGGCTATTTCGGCATCATAGCTCTGCAATTTTCATTCCGACTCGCGAGAATATGCCGGTTTTCATCCACTATGAAGATCAAGCATAACGTCAAGTCCGAGGAAATTTAAAAAAGCGCCAGCTTATCAACTCTTTTACCTGGTGGTGCACCATATATGATACATAACTTCAATTAGCGTTACAGTCTGTGCATGAAAGCTTTTCATCATTTCCTCCGTTTCCATTTTACATCTGGAAATTAATCTGAATAATTTGATACTTTTGCTGTTAAACGAGAGAAATGTAATTTTTATCTTTTATTAACTCTATTTAACATAAGACATTCTAAAACAAGTTTTTATGAAAAAAAGATTTATCAGATAGAAAAAGTTAAGAATCAAATATGAATACTCAAAACCATGAGGATAAACAACATTTTCATACAGATTGGTTTCCCGCTGTACATATACGAGATAACTCATCATCAATCTTCAATAACTTTTCCATTTTAAAAATCAAAATTGTTATTTAGTAAAAACATCGAAGAGAGGAATATTATTTCTTCGCGATTTTTTAAAAATTGTACTGCGATAGCAGTGTTTCATTTCAAATTATAAATTTAGACTCAAATTACGCTTAAAACGAAGCAAAAAATGAAAAAAAATCTTGTTACACATTTTTACTACAGAATTCAACTAAAAAAAAAAATTTTTTTTTCACCATAAATACAGCGGCCGTCCTTTTGTTTTTACGGTTTAAAGGCCGCATTAATTCAGGAGATATTACGTGTCGTTAGCCAAAGAGTAATACATCACGAGGGAGCACATCACGCTGAACGCAACGCAACGCGACACAACGCAAGGCGCCGGGGCACAGGGCGACACGGATCGAAGGTAAGTAATTAAAATGGAATCCGACCGCATCGTAACCGCTCGCGGAGACAGGGATAGAGGTTGAGGGGGTGACTACGACGTGCGTAGAACATCCCTGGTCGAATGGAACTGCGATTACAATTCCAGAATGCTGCCGAACAGGTTGAAAACCGGTTATATCCGCTCGCACGCGGGTCAACTGCCAGGACGAGGTAGCTCCCCCCCCCCCTCCACCCGTTTACTTCTCCGCTTCTCCATCCGTTTACTGGCGCCGTATCCTACCTTACTCCAATATCCGTATCTCTTCCCCTTTCCGCGACTTCTCCCTGTCCAGCTCTCCCTCTCATCGTCTCTCTTATTCGCCCCGTCGCGTCGTCGGCTACGGCAATGGAATTCGAATTGTAATTTCTAACCGCGCGACTACGCACGAGCCATTACCTTGCCGTTCGAAATTCGTAAACGGATTGCGGATTCTCGGACTTCCACGCGGCTCGTACTAAGAATCCATATCCCATCGAGGCTTCCGTGCCGAATATGCGTGATACGTGCCGTTCGGGAACCGGGGGGCTTTTCGTTCGGCTCGCCTTGTGTCATATTTCGAGTTGTATCGATATGGTATTTCGTATTTGCGTCATTGCCTCCTTCGAAATGCTTCTGTGAATGCATCACCGCCGTTCTTAGTCGTGAATACATCCTCCACTGATGTGACGTAGCTATTTGCCAGTCATCACACTAATGGCACCCCTGTTATTTAATACCGTTCGTTATTCAATGTTACAATCACAGAGCTGCGAGCCATTTGACTGGCACTTCAGTAATTATATCAAGGATATTCACTAAGATGACAAATAAGCTGTCATATCATTGTCAGTTGTGGCATTTAGAAAAAAAAAAAAACAAATTCTTTTATGGTATTAATAATAATTTTGTCATAACACAATTGACAAGTCTTTTATTAAATACATGCTAAATAAATATTCATTTATTTTATAATGTTCTTTTTAGATAATCTATACAACTTATTGCTAAAACGGTTAAGAAATTAAAGTATAGAATTTGCCGTTATTTTCAATTGTGTATTGAAAAAAATATATTATAATTGTTCTTAAATTATTATTTATATTGTAATTTTATACGTAAATAAGTGTAATGATTTTTGTCTTAAACATTTTTTATGCCAATTATTCCATAAAAACTTATAGATTTTTTTATATGTATTTAATTATATTATACATACCGTTTCTCATAAATTCGGAAACGCTTGTAATTTTCTCATATTTCACGAAAAATTAAATGTCTCGGTGAAAAAAAAAATTATTTTTTTTTTAGAAGTTTCAAAAATGCATTTTAAAGAGGAGAGACAGAGCTGTAAAAATTTCTTTTTTATATTTTCATTTTTATAATATTATGTTATTATTACAGAATTAAAAATTTTTCAATATTTTTATTTTACTTTGAAGCGCTGTAGCTTGATGAAACACCGTCGGACAGAAATGAACGAAAAAGTATTTTAACGAAAAAGTATAAGGCTTTTTTTTTATATTAAAAAATGGTATTTTAGAAAAATTGGTGCAATGATTTTTAGCAATAGTATTGGACTTTTTAAATAAAGACTCATTTCTACAAAATGCTTATAACTTAAAAAAGAAATTACGAAATTAAAGAGTTCATAGAATAAAAAAAAAATTTATTACAATGTTCTTAATTTACATACATTAAAAAATTGTTTAAATTTAACTTTTTATGAGAAAGATGCAAGAAAATCGCAAGTATTCTTGAATTTATAAACGATAGTTATATATACATTTTGCTTCTCTCCAATTCGCAAATGATATATTAATTAGACAATGGGAAAACATTTTATTAAATTAATATTTCTATTAAAATTATATTAAAATGCCTACGAGTAATTAAATACTAATATGTTAAACATATCTAATCTAATATTAAATACTGTAGTACGTATTAAATTACGAGTTGCTGTCTCTCGTTTGTTATTTTCTGCACACACACAAGATATTTAGGAAGATTACTTCACATTAGAGTATTCTTGCTCACTCAGCGTCATTACTACTTTATTAGGAATAACGTGTTCATTGTTCTGGAAAATAAATGTAGATTAACCGTACGGAATGGTGCGCTAATTTCTTTTGATATTAAATATAGTAGAATATATGAAACTTTCGGTCATTTACGGTAAAGATATTTTCCTTCCTTCTGCTGTAATCAAGATAACGAATCTTCGCTGAGGGAACACGATTATATCGATCATTTCATCGTACGTGGCACCCAGTAACTTCGTGTCTTGTGCACCCTGCCCCTTCACCTTTTCTGTTCTTTCGTCGGTTAACTTTTATCAGAAAAATCTACTACTCATCCATCTTTAAGATTAATTAACAAGACTAAGTTTTACGCAAATAAATAATTTTTCATTTTTCTTGATAATATAATAAAACAATTAAAAAACTAAACCTTGTCTTTTTGATACTTAATTTTTAAATTAATGTAATTAAAGCCGTAAATAGAAGAGCAGTAAAAATTTTACTTAATACCATTGCATTTAATAAAAACAAAGATATATCATTCTACGATTATATATTGATAACAAGGTACGATTTTTTTAGGAAATTAATTAAAATTTGCCGAGTTAATTCATATTTATTCATTTCGTGATACGGCGAGTACTTTCCGGCAATTTCCTCGAGGGGAAAAGAACACCGTAACAATGCGGCTGAACGAAAGAGAAGCAAGTCATTGGGGGAAAGAGAAGCTCAAATGAATGGCCGACGAAAATGCCTGGCGAGACGGCTGCTCGCCATGGATCGTACCTATTATGAAGTAACGTAAAAGAGACTAAGAAAGAGAGAATGAGAAAGCGCGTGCGCGAGTTGAGAGTAAATTTAATTCATAATCTACTGCAATGCCCACTTGCCGGCAACTCAGCTCATCAAGATTTCAGAATGTCTTTCTTTCTTTTTCCTTCTCGACCGTGACAAGTTCGCCCTCTGAATATCTTAGACTTTTGCAACTTCGTCTCGTTGTGGCGAGCAATGTAACAATTAATCTATTTTGGAAACCTACCGTATATATGCAGATAATATCGTCTTTATAATATTTTTTTATTGATATAGTCAACAGAAATTAAAACTTAACATAATTTTTAAATAATGCTTAACTCTAGAATAATTACCTGATCTAGAATATTTTTACATCCCAGCGGCAAACAAATGTGAGTTGTTGTACATACAAAAATAGTGTTTTGTATGAACATTTTTTTAACATAGGTATATTTTTTTCGATAATTATTCTTTACAGGACTTTTAAATATACAATTCCATCAAAAACTCACAATAAAAAAAATGTTATATTAATTAAACTCTTTATTTATTAAAAATATTGTCATTATAAGCTACGTAACACGTGCTTATTCCGTTCAATATGTGTATGATTTCTACTTATTTTTTCAGAAAATTGTGTTAAATGTTAATGTTCGCAAATTCTAAATAATTCTTAATAACTCAGAAAACAATTAATAATACAATATATTGTTAATAATGTAATTTTAATTGATGTAAAACATTTCAGATAATCGTAAACAAATCTGATAATCGTACTCGCGAGTTAAATGGTTGTGTAAGATAATAAATTGTCAGCTTTCATTCTAACATTAAAAAAATACATACGCAGTAATTGTTGAGAATAATAATATGTGAAGCTTTTTGCATTAAAATGACAACTACATTTATATTTGGAATCAATATTTCCGCAAACACTGTCTATGCGTAACCACAGAATGATAAACGTAGAAAGAAAATATGTACAGGAAATATGACATGAGGCAAGGATTTCAGAATGTTGAAGCCGAACGAAACGAACGGTGCCGATTAAGCGCCGCTAAACTTCGCCGTCGCCCCGTCCCAATTCTCGGACGGAATGGCGTGGTTTTAATTAGCGACCGCCAAGCGAGCTTACGGGCTTATAAACTGATAGTAACTTGT